CCCCCCAGCCCCCAGTTCACATATGCAACCTAAAAGAAAAAGAGACATTTTATTTCTTCTTTTGTTGTGATTGTTGCAAATGAGGAGCAAAATCCACTTCTGGCAAGTCAGCGATCATTCAGGAGAGATCCAGAAATGCCAGCTTGTTTCTATAGGTGTTTTTTTCCCAATGTTTCAGTTTCTATTTTATAAATAGGTAACTTACCCACTGCTATTTTAGAAATCTCTCAAGGCGGTTGGATGGGGGTATACCTGAAGTTTGACAATCTTTATTAGCCCTCTGGTTGGGGTCTGGGGCTGCCAGTTAGAGAATCTAAGCCAGTTTAAAGGCCCTTAAGCTGTACGAGTAAATATGTGTTTGTTCAAACAGGCTTCTGTAGTTACCCATTTAATGTGCCCCTGTGTGTTTGCCTGAGTCTTTGCCTGTCTGCATGTCCATATGCATCTGTTGGTCTAACATGGGAGCTTTTCATCTGTGAAAATGCAAACTCTATGGACACGTTCAGGGTAGTGGATATTGGTCTCTGTAGTGGGGCTGAGCTTGCGCAGCAACTTGTACATTTGTGCCACAAAGGAGAGAGAGAGTGTAATTTCTCTCTGGCCCTCTTGCCATGAGATGTGTAGGAATATTGGTGGTGGAACCTACAGAGGATCACATCAGTAAGAAACGACACCGTTGCATTTCAGGGGACTGTACAGGAGTGTTCACATTAGAGCAGCAACAGCCACTGGAAATCCAGGAAGTGTCCTTAAGCTCATACTTCACAGCACTGGCACATCCACTTTGAAGACAGCTGAAGTCAGAGGTGTTCAGCTCACCTATGTAGGGATACCAAGAGCAAAGTCATTAACACAGCTGTTGAGATTGGTGAACCCTACTTACAATAGGAAAGGGAACAACTGTCCAGTTCTGTGAGGCAGTCTAAATTGTGGAGCTTTGTAGCAGCATACAGTTAAGTCCTCCCTGCAAAACTGCTTCTCCGCTGCAGCAGCATGGCAAGAGGAGGGCTCAGTTGAGGTGTTGGAGCTGCAGGTATTTGGTAGGGATTTGGGATTTGGTAGGGATTTGGTAGGCTTTGGGATTCACTTCTGTTCCCATGCCAGAGGGCAGAGTACAAGATCTGTCTCTTATCAGGTAATGCAGATGCTAGTTCAGGTTGGAGCTATGAAAGCTTATTTTCTGTGCTTTTTTAGGTGCTTGTTGCCCTCTGGGAAGAGGAGCTCATGTATTTGCACCTTCCTTGTGAAATGAGACTGAGTTAGAGCACCTAGACCTGCTGGTACAAATCAGATAAATACGGTAGAAGCAGCTCAACTGCACTGCAGGCCACAGCTTCCTAGAGTCCAGGGGCTGTGAGATTAGGGCAAGGGGAGGTGGCAGCTTTTACTGCTTGACAAAAGCAGCAGGATAGTTGTTTCCAAATGTCAGTGAAAACTACAGTGCTCCAGCATGATGGCCTGCCAGCACATTGACAGTGTAAAGCATGTGATTCAATTTGCCACTGCTGCATACAAGCCTCTCTTCCCCCCCTGCCTCCACTTCTATTAGCGCTCTTACATAAGCGTTGGCATCCCATGTACGCAGCCACAGGCTCCCAGTGGGCAAGAACATATTGCCTCCTGCAGACAGAAAATCACCCCTTGCCCCTCTGATCCTGGTGACCAACACAGGGAGGGATCAAATGCCTTGATACAGACTCTTCCTTATACTGGCCCCTTTCAGTCTGAGAGGCACATTTAATTCCCTGTGCTCTGCCGTGGACTCCCAAGGAGGACGAGAGAATTGTCAGGAGCTGTATCATCACTGCCCTTGTGGCTCAGCTTACCAGAGCCTGCTTCTGCTTCTCCTGAAGACAGTGACTTTCCAGAGGCAGGGGGCAAAGCACTTCTGGAAGCCAGCATAGTGCAGCACGCACAACTATAGCATTTGCGCAGGCAGATTGCAGATGCTAGCACCCAGCGTTAGAGGGGACGCCTTTCTGCTGGCTGAAATACCTTACATTCTGGACCTGGTCCTATTCCATATTTCCTGAGTTGTGTGTTAGGACATTGGAGGGTGTCTGGAAACACAGCTGGAAGCAAGTAGGCTGGTTTGTTTGGTAAAAAAAGAAGGCTAGTGACAAAGGGCAAGAAGAATAGATGTATGTGTCCAGATAAGGGTGTATTTGGTAGCCGTGTTGGTCTGAGACAGAAAGACATACAAAGACATAAAAAAGACATTTTCCCAGAGCCTGACGAAGGGACTTTGATCCTGAAAGCTTGCAGAAAAGGACAATTTTCTTGCCATTTTCCAGTTGGTCTAAGAAAAGGTATCATTTTGGAACCAAGAGTTCTAGTTTTTTGTATGTCTTTATGTCCAGATAAGGAGTTCGCCCCTTCAGTGTCCAGTTCTGTTTCAGGTCCTGTTTCGCCATCCTTTGCTATTTTGACTGATTTAATTGGTTGCTGGCAAGAGGGGTTGGACAGAGCAGGAATGAAGTAAACCAGCAAAGCTTGATTGGAAAGAACCTTGCCTGGCTAGGACAGTGGTTTTCAACCTGTGGTCTGTTGGCCCCTGGGGGTCCACAGACTATGTCTGAGGGATCTGCAAAAATGACACTGATCAATCAAAAGTATGTGAATACCCAGACACAATTCCAGACCTCCATTCAGAATTGTTTAGGTGGCAAGTGTTGGCTGTGTGGCTGGTTCAGGAGTTTGTCACTGGCTGAGATTTTCTTAAGCTAATGTATTGAATTAATGGGAATCAATCACTCAGATCCTCCAACTGGCTTTAAAAATGGCACTTTCTGAAATTCACAAAGTCATGGGGCAGTGATTCTTAACTTTATTAGACTCAAGGCACCCCTCAGAAAGTGCCAGCTCTTAGTTTTCTCTCATTTCTTGACTATGGAGAAATAGAACAATTCTTCTGTTGAACTCAGAAAGACCCTAGCAAGTCCGAATGGTTTTGACACTATAGGTACCTATTTGAAATCCCTGGGTTTGTCTTGTGAATCATGTGCAGATGTTTGCACACCTAATAGTGTTAATATTGTGCGGCGCCCTGCTTGAGACTCACTGTCATAGAGATTTCCAAGCAACTGATAGCTTGAGTTTGCCTTTGCTTCAGACCTTTGCAAATGAAATAGCTTCTAATCATATGTTCCATTGTACAATGGGAGTAATTGAGCGGAACAAATGACTGAGCGTGAAAAATCTAATCTCGTTTTAGTGTCTTCAGATTTAAACTTTTTTTTTTTTTTTTTTTTGGGATGAATCATGATTGCAAGGTCATCTTGCTTAAAAGGTGCTGTAGAAATCTGCTGTTTCCAGTTTCTGGTCACAGCTCTGATCTTCCCATTTTTATTAAAAGTAAATCAGGCTGTATTTGCTGTTAACATTGTCACTTAAAATTAAAGCTTCTAGGAGGGTTGTCCAGTATATATTGGTGAACCTTTTGAAACGCATTCAGACATCTTGAAATACTACTGTGTAACTTGCTTGTTTAAACTTTTACGTATTATGATTAAGTAACATTTTTTCCAAGTTTTTTAAGACACTACTAAAAATCACTGCATTGTTTTTCCCCAGGCACTATCAGATGTATTAAATCCTAGAATTTAGTTTAATTCTTGAAGATCCATTTTAAAGGCCCAGAAACTTTATTCATGAGTATTTTAATTATTTTTATATTGCAGTACAAATATTTATTTAAACCTTCCCTTCCTATATTTGAAATTCAGACCCTGGACCATTGGCAAGAGCACAAGAAACTGTGAAATGTACTGGAAATGGAAAGTAAAACTGACCAGTCTAGTTTCACTGGTGATTGTAGAAGTAATGGCATAAATGGAGAGAAGCAAAATCGGAAAGGGTTAAATCTGGAAAATAATGTTGAAAATGGACAAATCCGTTTATAGTAATTTTTAATCTGTTACGGTGAATTTAGTGGTTGCTTATGTGCCCTCCTTGGTGAAAGGTTATATCTTGAGGTTCATAGATTTAGAAAAGGGCTGCTGGTACATTTTTATCTAGATGTTGAGGGCACTTGGCAGCAATGGCAGTTTTGTGCCTCTGGTGACACTATACCCTGTATGGCTTTCACGCATAAAGGAGCTCTAGAAATAACTGTAAAGCTTTTATTTACTGCCGTGTGAAGATATCAAGTGGGGCTGGGAGTACTGGGAAAGAGGAGGTTTAATTTTTATGTTGGAAGTTGGAAACTCTAGGAGCTTCACACTACCAAGACACAGAAGTCTTCCTTTAAATGACAGCTCCTCATGTTGTCGAAGGCTTATACTAATCAACAGATCTGTTTCTGCAGATGAATGCTCTCTGCTACTTGTTCCCCCCGCCTTCCCATCTTGCTCCCACAGTAATTCTTTCAAGCCTGCTGCTGCATCATAATTTGACCTCACTTTACAGTGATTTGCATGGCAGCTTTACTCTATTAAACAACATCAGCTGCATTCGGTTAGTAGAGCTTGGAGACTGGTAACACCTTGTCAGAATGCAGGCTTAGGGCAAAATCTGAATCTCAGACTTGCTACATACACTCTTGACTTCAATACGGGACTGTCCCAGGGCAAGGTACCTGCCCACATGACACATGCTGTGCTCTTCCTAGTCCCTAGGAACTTGGTTTAGCTTTGAGATTGCTCACTTGGCAACCATTGACTTGCAAAGGATTCTACAACCCCATTGTCAGCAGGGCACTTGAACCAGGGAAGTCTCCAAGTGACACGGGCTCTTTTTAATGTGAGATGGAAAGAGCATGGTAAGCTGACTCTGCCACCAGATATTCATGTTGTGCTGTATTCCTTCCCTTGTGCTTGGTTTTCAATAGGAGGTGGATAAGGAGCAAGAGGAGACAAAGTAGCAGAGGTCTTGGGCTATTGGGGGGTGCACGCGCAGGTGTGTGCACGCAAGTGCATGCACCTAGTTTTCTCCCATCTCTTTGGTACTTCTCTGCCTCTGTCCCCAGCCAGGGTCCACATTGGCTTTTGAAGGTGCCCTCACCTCATTTCAAAGCCCCTACTTCCTAACTTCAGCCCCAAACTTTCTATGTGATGCTGTGAATGTGACTTTAAACCTCTGGCTACAAGGCCAGTGGCTCTTTACAATGCATCCACTAAAACTGCCTGTAGCATAAGATGCTGTTAAATGCAGTCAGGTGGAAGCACTGTAAAAGAATTGCTGTGACTGAGGAAACAGTTCAGGTGAAGACTATAACCACCAAATGTGGACAGTGCTGAATGGGCTCTTTCCCATGAGGAACTTGCAGACAGTAGCATTGTAACAAAGGGTAACTTGTTAAGTGGCTTTGTATTGCAATTTGCTAATCAGATTCGAGTAAGAAGAAAACTAAACTGACAATCAATTTCTAACAGTGAAAGCCCCTCAGAGGGGCGGAGTGAACCTGCATCCAGCAGCTGGAGCCAGGCATTCACCCCACTTAAGAAAAGAAAAAAAACCCCATAGGAATTGTTTTCTTCCCGGGAGCGATCACTCCATAGCCGAGTTGCATGAAGCAGCTGAAGATTCACAGACCGGTAACTACCTCCCTCTCTGAGTGCTGAGGTTGTCATGCTACATACTTTGCTCTTGTCAAAGCTTTCATGTAAAACACCCTTTTATTCCCTCTCCCCTTCCCTGCATTTAAAAAATGCAAGTCTGCTCTGTAAAGCGACATTGTGAAAATGGTGCCCCCTCCCCCCCTTTCCCTGGGGTTCTGCATTCATCAGAGCTCTCTGCCTGTTTCTAACATCCAGCCCTGCAAACTCGCTTTGGGCTCTGAAAGACAAGCTGGGTTCCTTCCTGCTTGTACAACCTGTCTAATCCTGAAGGCTCTGCTGGATAAATCCCAGGGTGAGACCTGCAGCTTGGAGGCCTTTGCTTCCTCCAGCTGCAATGTAGCAGAGCCCTGCCAGAGGGAGGAGCAGAAGTAGAACCAGTTGCCCCTGATGAAATGCAGCTGGTTCTGGAGAGCTGACAAGAGTGAAAAGCAATAAAACCCTTTCTTTCAGTCACTAGTCAGCAGATCAGCTCGGTTAGATGGTGCCATTTTTCCAGCGTCCCTTTTCAAACTAGAACAGCACTTTAACTCGGTTGCTTAAAAAAATCCCCGTTACTGAAGAAATGCACTTTAAAGCGGAAGGTGTGTACGGCTGCTGCGCTGGAGCCAGCTGCATGTGCAGGTGGATTGGTTTAGCAGGAGCGTTGAGGGAGTGAGTGATGTTGCTAGACCTTCGGCTGCTGCCATTGTCTCCTGCAGCATAGTAAGCAAACGCAGCTTTACCTCCTACCTCAGCACACCCTCCTACTGTGAGATCAAGGCCCCGTCTACACTAAAAACAGGAGTCAAACTACCTAAGTAAACCCCAGTTGCAGCTCAGTCGTAGTGTAGCACTATCTGGACTGGCACATGTTGACCCGTCCAAACCCTTTTATAATTGGTTTGAAGTGCCCTTGCCTGTAAAGCATATTTGAAATCCATTTATAATAGGTCAGAGTTATACACACAGTTATAACACAGCAGATGGCACTGGTGCCTGGCTGAGCTATGTTATAACACAGCTGAGCCACAATGGAGCTGCAACTCTTTCTTTCTTTTTTTCACTATTGTACATGGGGCCCTTGTCACTTCTATGGTTTTTAAGAATCCAAATTTTCTTTCTCCCATACGGATTGTACTTCAGCTTGGTTTTTAGAGTAACCAAAAATATATATATTATAGAATTAGGATGTCACCTTCAGATGCTCACCAATGAATCAACCTTTTTTAGAACATGTGACCTAACACTTGGGATTTATTTTTCACAGGTTTAAAGTTTCCTGCTGTACTAATTTCTTCTTCTCTTTCTTTCTTCTTCCCCTCCCCCCCCCTTTTTTTTTTTTTTTTTTTAATTAAAAAACACAGGTTGTACTCTACAGAAGCACCTAGGGGTCACAGTAGACCATAAGCTGAATATGAACCAGTGGTGTGCTCTTGTTGCTGTTGGCTTTTTTTTTTTTTTTTTTTTTTTTTTGGTTGTTTGTTACAGTCCTGATTTTGTGAAGTCAGTGTTCACACTTAGTTTGCAGCAGGTTGAATGCAACCCTGCTGTGTGTAACTCGTGGATATCAGAACTGTTCTTAAATGATTTTACAAGCTTATCCCAGGCCGGTCCACTAACATTCCTTCCCTTTTCCTCTCCCAGTGACCCAGGCACACACCAGCACTTGCTGGAGGCTCCTTGTTGCCTAGGTGGTAAGTAGCCCACAGTGACTTCTGGTGGTGTTTGGAGGAAATGGGACAAGAGAGGCAGAAGGACTGGAGTTTGGGGCAGGGGGAAGTAAAACATGAGGATGAAGATAAAGAAGTGTACAAATGCATTTAAAGCAGTTTAGCAAAAAGCTCTCTCGTTGAACAGCTTTAAGAACAATGTGAATGAAAACTTAGCAACTTGGTTAGGAATCTTTGAAAATTCTATAAATGTATTACTTGAAATTCTGTTTGTATTAAAAATTGCATTTTCTTCTTTATTTTAACACTGTGTAAAAGAACATTATGCATGTGAGTGGTTTGAGAATTAAATGGTTTAATACTCAAGTTCTGTCTGGTCTGTCTCTTGTAGTTGACTAGTTCAGTTTAATGCTGTTATGTTTGATCTGGGCCATTTGAGCAAAAAGTCCTCAAAGCAATGCCACCTTGCCTACAGCCTTCCACTTTTGACTTTCCCCATTGCGAGGATCTCATTGTTACCTGCCACATGGTAAGGAAATAATCGCACTTGGTGGAGCCCACCTTGTTTTTCCTGCTGCCTTGAGTATGGAGCCTGCTCGAACTGCAACATTTTCAGTCTGCCAGGGGTTATTTCCCAGCTTTGATTCTGGCTCTTTGGAGACTGGAACTCTGATCTTTCTCCTAAGGTCTTGGGTTTTTTTGGATGGCCAAGAGACTGAAATCCCTTTCTGTGCTTCTGCAGCGACCACAGCGCTCTTGCTTAGTTACCCCATCGCTGGACCACTGCTGGGAGCAGCAGCCAAGGTCTGTTTGCGAGTTGATACAGAATTCTTTATTGCCCACAAACGGGACTGGTGCTTCCCCCTCCCAAATCTGGGCCTCCATCTGTTCTCCCTGTTGAGTACCCAGAAATGCATGTGCTGAAAGGAGATGACAGTCTGACAACAAGCGCATGTTGGGCCTAGTTTTCATACTCCTTACCCAGTGAATGGAAGGAAAAGGTCAAGTAAGTCTTGTGACTAAGGCTGAGAATGGCACTCAAGCAAGCTGGGGTTCCCTTGCTCAGACACTGACTCGGGTAATTTACAGTTACAGCTTTTAGCAGTGACCAGTTTGTTGGATGCCTGACTTGACAGGTCGGAAGGCCTGTACACCTCACTCCCTTTGGGCACCCCAAATCAGTGGCTGTTCTGAAAGGGTTGACAACTGTACCTTTAATGTCACCCACACTATAGAGAGACCAGAGCCTGACACTCAGCCTACAAAAGTGTTTTGTGATCCGCACCCCAGAGGCATGATAGTATAACAGTGGTGAAAGCAAGCGTCTTGTTGCCCAGGACACTTTGCATACCTTATTTAGATTGCAGTAAGTATGGCTGTGCCATATTAAAATCAGAATGCATTCTGCGCACTTGCACAGTCATGCTTACTACAATCTCTTAGTGAAATGCTATATGGTGTGGCCCCACACCAGAGCCCATTCAAGACTGGTGTGGTGCCTGGGCTGGGACCAATAAGCCAGGCTGGTAGCATCTCCCTGGAACAGCTGAACAGTAACTGAACACATACTAAATATGATGTGGAGATGCTCCTCCCCAAAAAAACCTAACAGCAAATACGTGATTGCACACAGCGCATGTTTTACTGCTCGAATGCAAGGTCACCATTCACATTTTAAGTGCAGTTAACATGTCATAAGTGTAACAGGCAATAAGGCTCTTAATTGCTGGAGTTCACGATCTTCAGTGGGGGAGTTACAGGTCAGCATTTGTGCTGTTCCCTATCCTCCTTCCCAGTACCAGGCACCTATTAGGAAAACTGATGGGCCAACAGGCAGAATAAATTCACTGGTCCTGGTCAACAGCCACACCTTAGCAATTCTTCACAGATGAGCTAATGTGACAGTAACTGCAGCCAAAGGCAAGTTCAGACTAGTGCCCTTGATTGAGGCTTGACAACAGTTTGATGACACTGAGCACTGCCAGTGAGACTGCTGTTACTCGTTTTGATAAGAGATGCATTTGCTAAACAGACCCTGTCGCAACCGGCAGTTAGCAACCAGCTTTGGGTTTGCCACAGTCACAGAGTACACACAAGGTGGAGGATTATTTGGAGAATCAATAGTTACTAAAATCCAGTCCTTGTTCTTATTACATCTTCACCTCACATCCATGACTGGCAAAGATGTGCATTTCCATTGCAGTTACGTTACAAACCAGAACAGCAAACGTGAATCACTGACAAAATGGCTATAGGCCAAGCAAAAGATGATTCATTCAAATGAAACAAGGGCTGGCCATTGGGATACAATTGCTTCTCAGCCACCAAATCCAGCTACCCCTTTAGGCAAGCAAGTGACACTTACGCAGCTAACATCAGCCGTGAAAATGCCAGTGTAACTGTTTATAGTCAGTTAGTAACAAAATCCCCCAGCACAACTTACTTTATCCTTCTGTCCTCTCTCCAGTCACTCACAATCCTATTCTGCCCAAAAAAGCACTCGAGCCCATATAAGACCCTCTCTTTCCCCCGACACCCTCTTGCAAAAATTAAAGCGCTAAAATGTTAACTGGACCAGGGACACAACACATTCTGGCTAGAGCATTGCACACCAAGGGGTGTTCATCAAGCTCGTTTAAATGCCTGGTGCTTTGCTGCCTTCCCTCAAATAGGTAGTAGCTCCAGGCTTGCCCTTGGGGGCAAGACACTCTCAGCTCATCTGCAAAAGTCCTAGGGGCCTTGCTGGGCAACAGGTTTTCCCACCTGCCAGTTGCAGACTTAATTATTTTAACTTGTGGTGCAATATGCACCTACTGAGATTCCTTCACTGATCGCTGGACTGTTTGCAAATACTTTTTCCTCTCAGAGACTCTTTCCTAGCCTCCGAGGTCACAGAGCAAGCAACAGAATTAGAAGGAAGGTCCTGCTTGCTCCACTTATTTCTCATTGAAGTGGACAGAAGGGCCATCCCCCACTCATACCAGGCTCTGACTGAGATCAGCAGCCTCTGGCTTTGGTAAAAAGATGCATCCTGGGAAATGCAAACTGAAGTACAATGGACATGGGGAAGATGCTGCCTTGAAGAACAGCAATGGATGCAAGTGAAGGATTGACCACTAATGGAGAATGCCCTGAAAACACCAGAGACCGGATCTTTTCCAGCTGCACACAGCTCCAGACAAGCCCTTTCCTCTTCTTCCCTAGGGATGGTCCCTCAGGCCCACAGAAGAGTAGCAGCAGAGGACGTAAAAAGTTCTCCACTAGCCTTTCCTCCCTTAAACTATAAACAGATTATATTCCATGCTAGGTTCAAACAGGCAGAAGCTAGCAATTTAAGGAATGTAAGCATTCATATGTGTCAAGAGATGGCCAGACATTGACACCGACATCTTTTCCCATCTAGATCATACCTTTCAGCTGGCACCATAGCTGTTTATATTGAGTTTCTTTCTATAGTTGTATCCCAGATTTCCTGGAAGGGCTTTGCAAAAGTATCAGCTTGTAGACTCCCTTTCCTTCAAGGCTTGCCTATTCCAACAGACAGTAGAGAAAGGAAGAGGGAACTGTGGGATTGCTTCTAGTGGACGCTTTTAAGGTCCGATTGCCAAAGTAAGTTCTCAACATGCTGCAGGGAAGAGTGGGCAAGGAGATGAGAGACACTGGGGTGACCTCATACCCCTCATTGCCTCAGCAAATCTTCCATCATTAGGCTGGATGGCTGTTGGGGTTCATGCAGAGGAATTTACAATGTAATCAGTCAGCGAGGATGATCATAAAGCCTACCTACTGGCATAGACATAGTATAAAAGCAGTCAATCCCAGAGTTTTGATATGCACAATCTTAACAGTCTGAAGTGGAAGGAACTTGGAATTCCAAACAGATTATAATCTAAAAATCAAACTGTGGACTGTAACTTGGACTTTGCACAGGGATAAGTGCTAGGGCTGTGCGAAGTCCCTGATTCGATGGAAATTTGGCCTGATTCAGTGGCCGAATCTCCAAATTTGAATCAAATCAAAGGACCCTTTAATCTCTCCGAATTGATCAGAACCCTCTGAATCGATTCAGAGAGATTTGGAAAGATTCGGACATAGAGACAGCTTTAAATGTTTTTTCTACATACCTCTAAGTAGCAGGGGCTCATGAATGCTGTGATGCTGGGGTGCATGGTGTATCCCACAGGAGCGCAGGGAACTCCCCAGCGTGCTTAGCAGCAGACTCAGAAGTTGACCAGAAGCACTTCCAGTCCGCTTCCGGGTCCTCCAGGGAGCATGCGGGGGCACCCTAGCACCCCATGGCTCAGTGACTGGTGCCTTCTGGGTCTGGGGAACCCCCCATTGGGCTCCCCAGCAGACCTGGAAGTGGACTGGAACTACTTCCAGTCCACTTCTGGGTTCGGCACTGAACACGTGGAGGGCCCCTGCGCGCTCCTGTGGGACACTCCATGCGCCCCAGCATCGCAGTGTTCACAAGCCGCACACCTGGTACCTCAAGGTATGTAGAAAAAACTTTTAAAGCTGTGTCTACATCTGAATCGCTGATTCTCTGAATCAGTATCAAGTCTTCAGATTCGGATTCGGTTGAATCAAATCAGGGACAGTAATCTGAATCAACTAATAAAATCACTATCCCGATTTGGGCCGAATCTGAAACAAATAGGGCCCGCTTCACACCCCCCTAATAAGCACCACCTCAAACTACCGAAGTCACAGCTGCAACTAACTCTACACCCAGAACCACAGAGACATCTCACCTGTAACAGAACACTCCTTTCTGTGTTAGCAACTCCAGAAATGGGCAAATCTGATTTAAATCCTTACAGCAACTGACAGGCTTGTGGTTGTAAAAGTTGCATGAAGGAAGCCATTTGCAATGGTTCAGCAAAAGACAGAAAATCTGTTGTATGGCAGGTCACTAGCTGGCATTTTATCAGCCAGTTACACATATGCAAAGTTATATAGCACTTCCCTAACAAGGGCCAGGGTAAAATTTCAACTAAAGCACCCCTGCTTCTGTGACACAAAGTAGAATGCTTCTGCTTTAGGATGATATTGCTATGACTGGCAGGAGGCAGGCTTTTCCCACTTTAGTCAACAAGAGCCACATGCAAGACCATTCTTCAGGAATGAAAAGCAGCCAGAAGTGCGTTGTCATAGTGGAAAACTTTCTAGTGTTTACAAACCTGTTCACTGTTGAAGCTAAAGTTAGCTTATGAATAAGGAGGAGAGCCTGCTCTGATAGATGGAGAGAGGCATTAAAACAAAGCCAGGCAGGCCAGAGATTTTCAGGGCTACAGCAAACCATACAAATTAAGTTAAAGTAGATGCAGCAATTCTTTAAGCCCATAACTAAATGTCTCTGTTCACCCAAAGTGCAACAGGTGTCTGACTAGCAGTGGGTAGGACAAATCAATGGCTGCTGGGATTCAGTAATGTAGCTTGGGGTGGTGGGCAAGTGGGGCAGCAGCCCTGGGCACTAAATTAATGGGGGCACCAAACCAGACTTTTAATTTTTTTTTTAAGGAAAATTTTTCATGTTCCAAGCCAAATCAGTCAAATCAATTCCAAATCCGTGAGTCATTCAAGAACCATATCTGGCCCTTCTACCAGCAAACATCCTCCACCCCCACCTGGGGCTTCAGATGCTTCCAAATCATTTGGCGGGTATCCTATGTGCAGGAGGCTTGGGCCTGCACATAGTGGGGACACCAGAATGGCAGCCCCACAGGGAATCTGCGCAATGACAACAGCAGCAGTCAAGTGCACAACACCACTGCTGTCACAGCAACAGCCAGGGCAGACAGTGTGTGCTGCAGCAGCACCAGGCAGGGACTCTGAATCCCCAGAGATGGTAAGACTCCTGCCTGCCTGAACCCCGCTCCTCACCCCAACCCCCCTGCACTCATCATCTCCTCCATGCCCCTGTTTTCCAGCAGGGTTTTGCCCAGGGGATAAACCGTACTAGTTAGACCTCTACTGGGTTGACTTTAGCTGTGCAGTTCCATAGTGCTGAATGCCTGGGGACTCCCTTCCTTCTGGCCCTGTCCTACAAACATTAACATGGTGCATTTGCAGAGCTGAAGGAGAAACAGCCCTTTAGTAACTGACAACGATTCACAGCCTTGATTAACAGGGTTGAAGTGCATCTAACATGCCAATTCCATTTCAAAGCAGACAAGGGGCATCTGCCAACTCTTCTGTCTGCCAGATCACAGAGAAGTTGGGAGGGACCCACAGAGGTCTAGTCCAGTGCGGGGGGTTTGTGCCAGGACCCACTTGTAAACATCAATGGCCAGTCCCGACCCAGTGCCCCTCGTTCCCAACTCGCTGTCCCCCACCCACAGCCCCAACCCCCCAATGTATGGGGCAGTGGGGACCCCAAACAGCCCTGAGCAGCCCCTTATAGGCTGGAACTTGGCCACCTTGCAAGGGAAAATCTCTGGTTTCCCAAAGGAAAATCCAGTTTTAAAGTTTGTTTGCAATCCTTTCATATATTCTTGCCACCCACTTTTGTGTCACACCCCACAGGTTGAGAAACTGCTCCAGCCCAATCCCCTGCCTATGGCAGGGTCATTCCTATTTTCCCTATCCCAGACAACCATAATCTAAACTCTACATAAGACTACAGTCAACCCTGACACAACACAGACCTAAACTGCCAAGGGTAAAGCAGGGGAACAGCAGCAGCCAACATCTGGCTTCTATGAAATATTGTCAATATATGCTCAAGAGGTCCTGGATAGAGGGTCATGTCCCCCTCCCCGCCATCAATACCAATCTGCCCATGAGGTAAAATTCCTTCCTGACCCCAAATACCCCAAGCAATCGGCTTGACCCTGAGCGGAGGGGCAAGACACTCTAGCTTCGGTCCCAGCAGGAGCATCGGCACAGCCCAGTCAGTCCCCAGCCTTAGCTGTAGCTAACACCCAGTGCCTCTGAGAGAGGCTTAAAAACAGATTAACTCTTTGGGTAGCGGTGATATCTTTTATTAAACCAACCAAATCCAACAAAAGATGTCACCTCTACCCAGAGTTAGGCTGCCTCTGTGCTTAGACCAACATGGCTACAGCCAGATCCCTGAAATATGGAAGATATTGCATTTGGCTGTTTGAAATGGAAACTTCACAATGTGAAGAAGAAAACAAAGCAAATTTTAACAGCCTGGACTAAATTTAACATCAATTTATGCCTCCCCCCCCAATCTGATACCTACAGGTAAATCTGCCTTTGTCTTCTATTTAGTTGGTCTAATAAAATGTATCTCCTCTGCCCCAAAAGTTGGTCTCCCTCTGTGCTTAGTTCAACATGGCTACAGCCTAAATACCTTAAAAACACCCTCCCCAGGTAAACCCGCCATATTTACCAGCTATTCTCATTCCCTTCCCCCACTCCAGTCTCCCATCCTTTGACTACAGCCACTTTCATTCCCCCTTTAGCACGCCATCCAGGAAGAGCACAGGCTGTCTGCAGATGCTCCCTCAGCCTGACGAAGGGTGTTTGTGCCCTAAAGCTTGCTAAGAAGATTTTTTTCCAACTGTTGTGAGTTGGTCTAATAAAAGATATTGGATTTACCAAAAGAACCTTAAAAACACCCTGTTGCTGGGTTTTTGGTTGTAGCCTGGTTGGTCTAAGGCATGGGTTCACAAACTTTGTGATACTGCGACCTTGAGTGCTGGATGGACGGGGAGCTTGCACGTGGCAGCTGCCACAGCCATCCACCACTCCGCGCCTGTGCTGCTTCCCTGCGCTGCAGCGCGTACCCCTGGGAAGTTTGCGGCCCCCTTTTAAGTTGCTCACGACCCCAAGGGGGGGCCCAACCCACACTTTGAGAACGCCTGGTCTAAGGACATCGGCAGGCAAGGTCCTTTGAGTAGATGTAATATCTTTTTCTAGACCAACTGGTACTCAGTCTAAATAAAAGATATAATTTCTACTCAAAGAAGCTTGCCTGCCTTAAAAACACACTGACGTGTATCTGGGAAAGGCCAGAAGCCGGGAAATCCCCATAGCAAAACATCTCACTGCCCAGTGACCCGCAGCTGAGGGGGAAACCGGGAGCTCCCTGCACCGCACACCGCTGAGGATAAGCCAGGGGAGGGGAAAGAAACCTCCCAGACTAGTCCCGACCACTCGGCGCCTGGCTCTGCACCACAGGAGCCGGGGGAAGAGCACGGGCGCAGCCCCACTACCACAAATTGCGCACTCGAGTTCCCCGCGTTTGGGGAAATCGCAGGGATCAGCAGTCCCGCACAGGGCAGGGGCGAGCCGCGCCCTGGGGAAACCACCTGCTCGGTCACGATATTTCCCTTACCAGGTAAATATGCGGCCCTCCCCCCGCCTTCCGCGCCACCCCACACCTGGCCAGGGCGAGCAACGCGATTGCAGCCCCGCAGCGCGCTTGGGGGGGGGGCGCCCCCCCGCCGAGCCAGCGCCGGCTGCTGGAGGAGGGCCGTGGGGTGGCAGAGCGGGGCATTGCTCCTAGCACAAAGGCAGCTGACCTGCGCTCCTGCAGGGCGCAGTGGCCCCCTTCAAGCGCCTCTGAATGCACTCTCTTCAGGCTGCCGAGAAGCCAAAGATTATTAAGAGTTACCCGACGTGGAAAAGAAACTCCCTTTTGCACCAGGGAGGTGGAGGAAGAAGCCTGCCTGATCTGCACATAGTCTGCTATGAGAACTCCTGCAGTCTTTGAATTTTCCTCAGCCGGAGTTCTCCTAGATAGAAAAGAAACTTCATTTTGCAAAGGGTGGAAGTTTATTCCCCTGGGAACCTCGGAGTCCTTTTCTGAGAGGGCTGCTCTGCGATGTGCACGAGGCAGGCTTCTTCCTCTACCTCTCCATGCAAAAGGGAGTTTCTTTTCCACGTAGGAGAACTCTTACAATCTTTGGCTTCTCCGCAGCCTTAAGAAGGGGGTTTGTATCCAAAAGCTGGCAAAGAAAGACATGTTGCCATTTACTTGGTCTAATAAAAGATGGGTGCAAGGCATCAGTCAAGTTTCCTGCATTGGGGGAAATCAAGACTGCGCCAGCACTCCCCCCTCGCCCTCACCACCCTGGTGTGGAGCTGTAGCTCATTCATATTAATTGTAATGTGCCTACCTCTCCTCTTACCCCAGGGTTGGGCTCACATCAATCCCAGCTGCCTCACGTGCACTGCCTGCTTCCCCCAAAGGGCACCTGGGTGAGCTGTTCCCCCACTGACTCCCATGAAGCAGGGCTAGGCCGTGGACTTGCATCGTTGTGCCGGGAGAACGGTGGGTTATAGAGCAACGCTTGGGTTTTGAGCCCAGCCTGCTCCTGCTAAATGGGCTGAAGAACTTTGAATGCGGAGGAAACCGTCTAATGCGTTACAGTTCACCTTGCCGACTGCTTTAATGCAAGATGTGATGAGAGTTACAGCTTGAGGCCACAAAATGCTGGGTGGGAAGCAGGATGGCTATAGTCAGCCTAATCTTGGAACAAACCACTGGGGAAAAAATTGTGTGTGTGGGGGGGGGGTCTTTTAGATGAAGAAAATGCAAGATGGGAAGTTCCATGGGACACCAAAAGACATCCCTCAGGTGTTGCATCGAACTGATGCCACAGGGGCAACAGCATAACTAATTATAATTCCTACCGGAGATTGAAGCTGGGCTGTGTGTGACAGGGCAGCTACTTCCTGTCTGCTACTTTCCAGAGGCCTTCTAAACTGCTAGCCAGTATTGGGAGAAACAAAGATGTGGGGCCGGGGGTGTTGTATTGGCTGGATAGCCACACACCAGGGAGTTAGGGCTGGAAAAACAGGGACCCAACAGTGGCTCTTTTAAGGGCAAGGGTTGGCTATTCTGCCCATGAAGATGATGGTGTTAAGGGCAGCTTCCCGGATAAAGAGCAGAAAGGGCCTGTTAGCATTGAAGACCACTTTGTTCAAAGGAAATGAACGGCCTGAGATGGTGACTGCCGTAACTGCTGCTGCCTCACTGCCTTCCTCATTCACCTGCCAATCAGAAGGGAAACTGGATTAAAAAAGGTCTTCTCTCATACCAGGCAGACCTGCACCTTACAGGTACCCTGTTTCCAAGTGGGACCTCAGTATCCCTGGGAGCCTGGCAATCCCATTCCTTCAGCTGGCTGGGAGCATTCACACGTCCATGAAACCTACATTCCCCCATGGAGGAAGGGCGACTTTCTCTGCAGAACTCCAAGCCCTGCTGCACCGGCCTTGCTGCAGGGCACTGCTAAGCAACAACCCAGCCAGCGCATTTAAAGAAGGATTCATTAAGTTGCTTTAAAAGCATTTTTTTCCATTGTCTTATGGACCTGAAGCACAAAGACATAGAAGCAGCATGTCACTTTCTGAACATGCTGTTACACAGCTCTTTACACTGAGGGGCTGATGACTCCATACCTACAAAGTTAAACGTATCCTCATCCAAGCTCTGATGCATCTGTAGAGTTTGATTTGCAAGGCCATACATGCATGCATTGAAGTGAATCAGAATGGCGTGTGCATGCCTAAGGCCCCTGACAGGCATTAAAGTACAGATGCAATGAGATCTGATGTGGGGTCCCAAGGATCTCACTTCCCATGCCACACATGCATGGCAGGAGGCGCAGTCGTGGAATCCTGCGTCGATCCCATTGTGCCATTTTGCTGGTGCAGAGGGAGCCCGATCCCAGGTTCCCCCTGTACTGACAAGTAGCAACCTTGGCTCCCAGTCATGGGAGTGGACCATGAGCTCCTGCCTCTGAGAGCCCTATCAGCTGATTGGAGTTCCCAACTGGGGGAGTCCCGATCAACTGACCAGGGCTCTCATCCAGGGAACACATGGTGCACCCCCTGTCTGGGAACCCCAATCATCTGAGGGGCCTCCCAGCCTTTGGAACACATGGGAGTCTTGAAAAGCTCCCATGTGCTCCAGAGGCTGGGCACAGGTCACACATTCAATTAAAGATGGGATAAGAACCAGCCACAACAAAATGCATATTTTGTGTAATAACTCTGCAGCTTATTTTATTATACCATTAACTAATTGATTGAATGTGTGGCCAGCCCACTAAAGAGATGACTGACCAGTTAATTATGTGTTAAGTGTAACATCTGTCAGGGGCCTGAAACTCACAAACCCCCCCCCCCCCCCCCGTCAGCAATTTGTTGCTGTTGTCAATATGCTAACCATCTTCCATCAACAGCAAGAGGGACTAGGGTCCAGATCCAGTAAAGGACTTAGGCATTGCAACATCTAACACCTAAGCACCCAGCCCCAGAGAGGAATCAGACGTGTGTTTCAGGCTTGCCGGCCCCACTACCTGAGATTGTAGCTGGGCGGTGAGACGGGACAATGCCTCACTGTACTGGGAAGAGTCGGATGACTCAGAATGGTGATCCAGCAGGCAGCAGCCTAAAGCCAGAGCACACGGCATGCAACAGCCTAGAGTTAGCCAGCATGTAACAGCTACTTGATGACTTTACTGCGTAAGGTTCTTTGCAGACAGAATCCAAACAATATGTTTTACATCTTTATACTCTGGTTTTTAGACCTGATGAGAGCGGGAAGTCGAATTTTTGGTGGCTTTTTACTTTCTCCACCTTCTACCATAGGCTAGAAGCTAGGACTGCTGCAGGACTAGGTAGGAGATGGGTACCACAGTTTTAAGTCCAAATTTTTGTTTGGTTTTGTTTTTAAAGACTAAACAAATTAGGTAAATTAAAAGAAAAGACTCAAAGCGGTGCTGGAAAGCCAGGCTCACCTCTAGAAAGGCCTTGTGGAAAGCATCCGACACATACAGGTCTGTACGGTTGTCCGCAACTATACCTAGAAACCAACAAGCCAGGAACAGAGAGAGAGTTTAAGAGCTACCTGGAGAAGACAGCATCCCAAGAACCAAAGCATTTCACTTGTGCAGCTTATGGGGATCAAGACAGAAGGCAAGAACAATGAGGGAAGGGCAAATGAGACAAGGACAAAGCTTAAGCTGGGTTTAGAAAGAAATTCTGCCCTGCAGTGGTCTCCACAGGACTCCAGCTGACTTCAGTGGAATCCATGAATATCTGTACCCAAGTGTCAGTTTTGGCCCTTAACACTCAGCAAGTTGAAGATGAGTTCAGTACTGGTAGAAGGTAACAACCTGCTGACCTACCTTGGAAATTGATTTTTTGCTCCACATTCAGCCCTGACCTGGAGACCCCCTCCTAAGCCCTACCCCTTGGGCAAGAGGGGACTTTGCTCCACATGACCCTTCAGCCAATTTAGGCCTCTGTACAGAGTCTACCAGTTAAGCCCTGAGCAGCAGAGAGACTACTCGCACTTCTAGCAACCCTTAAAAGTATTTTTGCGCACTCCTTTACCCCCAAATCTGAGGCAACAGCTGCTTTGTTTAATATCTCTGCCCCTGTTCTTGGAGAGAACTCCTACCACCCACCCCACCTGGACTGACCTGGCAGCTTGGCTGCTTTTGGTTTGAAAAGATCAAGCAGCCCCATCTTCTGCAGATTCTCCTTCAGGCTGAAGCTGTCTTCAATGCGGAAGCGGGGGAGGTAGACAGAAAGCAAGATCTCTTTCATTGAACTCAGCCATTCCTGCAGCTTCTCTGAAGTCAGTTCCCGCTCCACATCCAACAGCAGCCTGTCCCTGTCAGGCAGGATGAGCACCATGGTGATGTTGTCGCCTTTGTAAGGCAGCTCCAAGATGTGCACTCGATTGTTTTGGACTACAGCATAATGGAATTTGGCTTCTTGGTACATCATGGGGACCTGGCAAGTCTCACCGCCCACTTTATAGAACGTTTCCAGTTTTGTGTTGTGAACAGGAAACTCTGATTTCCAGTGTCCCTGTGGGACCAAGGCAAAGATAGATGCAGCAGTCAGCTCCACACAGATTCGAGAACCCCAGCCTGAAGGCAGCACACAGGCTGTACTAACCCCACTCTAAACTGCATCTGCTCTCCCTCATCTACAAAGTGACTATCGATTTAGCTTTGCCACATCTCTGCAAGGCAAGTTTGATAGACCAAGCCACAAGCAGGCTACATGGCTTAGCTCCTCCTCAGCACTGGGTAGGGAACTCATGACTTCTGTTTCTCAGAACGTCTGTTTCCCTGAGTGAGGCTCCTAAATCTCTGGTTTCCCCATGAAGCTGTATTCATTTATCAAAACACCTTGGCTTGTCACCAGTTTTGCTGTTTCTTGCCTCCTTGCCTCTGTCCCACCCAGCCTGGCAATGTGATCAGATGAGTCAGTTCTAACCTGTCAAGGAGCTAGACCCAGTGCTATGGAATTTGGAGCCAAATTCACATCTCAGAACCTTGCTGTAATTTGGGGTATTTGAATCTGGGATTCTGGCTCCATTGTAGAAGTAGGGGCCAAGCAGGGAATTCCCATCTGGAGTCCAGGCTTTGATCCTTCCCAAGGCACTGGGGTCAGGGCTGGGCAGATGCAGAGGTTTGATATGCATCCACTTCTAGGATTCAGTTTCAACTTTTCTGGACCAGGGTTGATGTGTTTGAGTTTTTGCTACTGCCCATGACTGAGGGCTTTGATTTCTATACAAGTTATTGCAGGCTGACAGCTCTGAGAAGTTGCTCCATTTCTTAGAGTTTCAGGGTGTTTGGCTTGGGAGAATGATTTCTCTCCTGACTTCTCATCATCCCTCAAAACCCTAGAAACAGTGCACTCCAAGTCCCCAAGGAACCAGTCTCTCCCCAGTTTCATTTGCCATACCTTAAAGTAAATTGTATTGACCAGAACTAGGACAGTGTTTTCATCAATGACTCCTTGTGGGATCACTTCTGTAATGCGCTTTTCTGTTTTATTAGTGACCCAGTCATTAATGACAGTCCTGGATTGCTCTGGTTCTTCCTAGAGAAAGAGACAAGAAAATAAATGGGGGATTTTCAGGTCAGTCCAAAGAAATCAAGGAGAGAGATGAAAATGCCAGTGGCACAAAGGAATGGAGAAAGAAAGAAGTCAAAGTAATTCTAACTCACTTTGAAATTCAAGGGCCAAAGTTTGGCTCCATAAACCACCTCACTGATGTTTTGGTAGGTCTCATTGAAGACCAAGGATTTTTCCCCAAAGAGGCGGTTGGCAGATATCAGCTCGGAGGATTTGTCGGCTTTCTTATATAGTCGGCAGTTCAGCTTAGCGAAGAAGAAGTGGATCTGGTCAGATGTCTTCTCTGTAATGGTGTCAAACTGAAAAACCTAGAGAAGCAAGAACAGAGCAAAGGAATCCCAACCCAGGCTCACCATTTCCTGTAGCAGTGGCAGACAGGTTCTGCTCATCAGCTTTATAGACAGAGGGTTACAATGCTGCTCACTCAGGACTGTATGGAAGTGGCCACTTTGCTGGCACTCTTGGTTTGTTTTTCCAAACAGCCCTGACCATCAGGCAGGGTTGCCAACCAAAGGCATTTTTTTTTTTTTACTGACATCCAAAAACTTTTTACTGACAACAAAACTTTTTCATTTGCATGCGTTTTTACTGTCAGTGAAAAAAAAAACAACAACTTTTGGATTGGCAGCCCTGTGCGACTGCAACAGTGGTTTTATATCATGCTGCTCCTCCCACATAGATCTCCTATTCACCCCCATACCCTGACTGCCCTCCCCTGCCTTACCTCCACTGGCCCTGTTCCCTGGCACAGACTCTCACCCACCACATCTCCCTTGCTTCCTGCCCCACAGCTCCATCCATGTCCTGCTCAGCTCAGAGATATCAGTGGCAGTACATGCTAGTGAAAAGGGAGAAGGAGCTATGGAGGCTCTAGTGGGCCAGAAAATCCTGACACTCACTTCACTGCAGGGCTCCAAGCTGGGCTCCCATTTAAACAACAGGTAGCACCGTCCTGCTCTCTCTGTCCAGGATCAACATTTGTATTTATTTGGCTCCATTTTGACATATCTTGAAGTGAGCTCAGTGTTTCTGTTTTTTATGGATGGCTTAATTTTTCTTATGGACATCACAGACAGGCATTTTTAGATTGCATTTTTTAGACCATCCATAAATTTACAAACAGTTGGCAACCCTGTCACCAGGGCAGAATGCTTAAAATTTGCTGCGATTAAAAACAGCATGAGTATCCTTTGTAGCAAGGCCTGTCTCACTGGGGGAAGAAGCACAGCTAGGCTGAGCCCAGGGTTTGAGGAGTCCAGGACAAACAATAATGGACATAGCTAAGAAGGTGCTGCGCTTCTTTCACCTCCTATCCTTCAGAGCTCTTTAATACTCTAAGCCCCTCTCCTTTTCCACACTCAATGCCCCGCCTGTCCCCACCTTGATTGTTTCTTTCCATGGTCCAATTACTACCTTTTTTTTCAAGCCATAAATTATACTAAGAGGGGCCTTGGTCTTTTTGCTTGCTAGGCTCCCATCCCTCTCCTTTCAGAAAGCACATTAAGTTGCCATGGTTTGTGGTTGGATCACTGCTCTTGGACCTAGGAGAGATCTGGATTCTACTCCAGCTTCTGCCACTGACCAGACAGGGAACCGTCAACAAATCCCTCCTTCCCACTCTACCCAAGTCAAAGGGAAGTTCTCTAGGCCAGGCAGTACCTCACTTTGTGTTTGTACAGTGCCTAGCACAAGAAGGCCCTGATCCTGACTGGAGCCTCTAGGAATTACTACAGTGCAAATAAACAATTAAAAGTTCTGTGCAGAACTCCTGAAGGCAACAGGATACTTCCTGGTTTTATTGTATTTTGGTGCACACTTTCAGATCATTTCTACATCATGCATGGATTCTGGTTCAGCATGTGTTGTCTATGGTATGGTGCTGTGAATGTTACGGCACTGTTCAAACAGAGTTAATGCTTTATGGTACCAATCACACACTTTCTAGCATCCCCACCAGGGTCACGCAATATGTTGCTGACAAGTTGCTAAACATGGGCCTCCCATGTGTGAGAGAACCTACAATATTAGCTGTAAACAATGTTGTACATGTATAGGTCTGGAAACCCCAGACTTAAGTAAGAGATCTCCTCCCATCAGATAAATCTGGTACATACTGTAGACACTTTCAAGCAGTGGCCACTTTGAAAAAAAAAAAATGAAGTCATTGCTTTGCAATTCATTTTCTGTAGCACACTGATTCTCATCTATTTGTGGCTGCCAGGTAGGATGGCATATACTGATTTATCAAATGACACCTACTGGACAATATGAACAGAAAATTGCTGCATATTTTTCTACCAATGCTTTACAGACACAAAATAGTTAATTTGCACAACCCATCTCCAAGGTTATGAAGCTGTTTTTACAAGAGGAAAAGTTAAGGCAGAAAGATCAGGGGCCTGATCCCATTTCTCTGAAGACTCTTCTTGATGACCTCAGTAGGAACAGAATTGACTTCTATAGAGGGGTATGCTCCAATGGTTAGGAGATGAGATATTAAGGACTTGTCTATACAGGAAATGTTTCCAGTTATACCAGTCTAATTATTGACTGGTTTAACACCCTATGTGGGTGCCCTCAGTCCAGAACTAGATTGTCTGTTTGGGGATCTAGGCTGGTTTAAGATATACCAGGACATAAGTTTTTCCACATAGGCAAGCCTTCAAGGCCAAAAACTATTCCACCTCCATGTATGTAAGTGCTATTTACAAAACCTAATGTAGTTGCATATGTGGCATTTATGTAGATTTTAGATCTCATTTCCAACTATGCAGCAATACTTGCCCTTGTGAGAGATCTTAGAAGATTCTGCTATGGCCATGAATACTCTGTTGAGGAACAGCATTGTCCAGGTAGGTGCACAGGCCCATGTAAGTCCTCAGATGCAGTTGGAGGAAAAACTGTGATTAGCAATTCTTTGATGCAAGAGGAGGAGGAGTAGAAGAGCCCTCCCTACCTTCTAACCCAGCAGCCTTGTGTTTAGGGAACTTGGCCGAGGAAACAAGACCTTGGTTCTGACCTAGAGGAACCTTCAACTTGTCTCTCATTTCCCAGCAAAACCATCAGGTCATAGGGTAGTGCTAGGCATTGCCCAGACCACTCCCCAGTCCTCTTTTTGAAGCTGGCCCAGTGAGCAGCAAAAAGACAGAGGGAAGATGGTTCAGGAAGATGGATGCTGCCCTTGAAGACAGGGAGCCTCAGGTTATAGCTTGGGTCTCTTTTCCAAATGGCTTTTCTACATTAATAGCCAGTGGATAAAATGGACAGAGAGCAGCAAGACAGCTTTTATCCCACTGGCAGCATGGCCAGAGTGAAATAGGCTTGCCTAATTTCTCCATCTCTAAAACAGAAATGACAGCACTGCCTCACCTTGGAGGAGTGTTGTGGAGAATAAGTCATTAAGGACCGAGAGGCACTCAGGCCTTGCAGTTACAGGGGTCAGACAAGTACTTGAGACAGACTCCCTTAGAGAGGAAGCAGGTGTCCACACCAGGGTAAGAATTCTGAAATTTCTCTCTCATCACCATGCTCAGAGCTCACTTCTGACTGGATAAGTCATGCAGTGACAGGCACAACAGCACAAGAAAAGCACCTGGATCGCAGTTCATGTTCTAACCAGCTGCCAAAGAAGGCTTTGATTTCTGGAGCTGTCCTCTTGCTACAGCCTATGTGGTCAACTGCTTATAAGGCTCAAGCCTGTCCCTTTATTTCTGTTTATCACAACATGCAAAGTGATACTGGCCATTTTTGCTCTTGCCTGCCCTCCTCCTGCTTTGCTCTTATCTGTAGATTTTATGCCTTCTGTATGGTAGCCCACTGAAAACTAACTTCACAGGTTAGGAAACCAGATCTTCCAAAGCTATGAATCACCAGGTCCTTTGCATGAAATTCCCCTTTAGTAACAAAACTATGACCTAGAAAAAAAAACCTCATCATTTGAGCTACACTGGGTTTAAAAAATAAACCAAATAAAGTTTAGTTTCTTCTAAAGGGAATCATATACCAGTGGAAGGTATCACAGATGCAGCCTTCTGAACCAAAAGTCCCCTGTCTAGCCACACAGCAGGAAGCAGTGGGGGAAGCTTCTTTGCCAGCATTGCCTCAACCCTGACCTGAAGGATCAGCTCCAGGTGCAAAAGGGCAGCTCCGTGTTTCACTTGGTCCTTGGCCCCTATGATGGGACAGCTAACAAAGGGAGGAATCATGCAGGTAACTGGATGCTGATGCCAGGACACTAGGCTAAAAGCAGGCTTTTTTCACACAGAGGGATGACTGCCTCCTGTGGAGCTGGCTTTAAGAGGCGGCCCAACACCCTTTTTGTTGTTGCTACTAATCGTGTTTCCAACAAAGCAGGACAGTGATCATATCTTGCCAGCCCATTCCATGTAGTGATTGCTTGTGTGTACATGCTTATAAAGGGTTAGTCCAGCAGCACTGGCATCGGTGGGAGTTACACTGTTAAATTCAGTGGGATTATTACAGGTAAGTAAGCAGAAAAGTCACCTGGTGGCTAGTACAGAAAGGGTTGGTAGGATAGACAAGGACTACATATCTCCCCATTGTTGCGAAGTCCTGGAGGTCAGGAGGTGAGCCTCCTGCAAAGAACGACCAGTGCTGTTAATTTATTGATGGGGCTTTTGTCTAAACAAAAAGTTCAGCCTGGGGTCCCTGTTCCATCCCTTCCTCATCCCACATAAACCAGGGACTGCATTGTTCCAGCTGCATTTTTGCACTTATTTCAATAGGAACATCCCACACTTCAACTTCTGCATAAGGATGGTGGAAATAGGGGGCCTTTAGCACAAACCCTGCTCCAAGGTCTGATTGGCTTCCCTCAGCTTCCTGTGTAGAGGCCTATCCCTGCTCATCTAACTGCCTAGGTCCAGAAGAAAAAAGTATTCACCTTCCTTCCTCACATCCAAAGCAGGTTTCTTCTCCTCCAGATGGAGGCTATAACCTATGCATCAGCATGTGCACCAGAAGAATCTACTTGGATCACTGGAGAAGGGTTTGGATCACGGAAACCCAGAGGAAAGCAGTCTGGGTCATCCTCCAGAAGGGTCCTTGTCAGAGACCTGTTTAGCAGAAGGGTCTGTCTCTCAAAAGCTGGGGTTACAAAGGAGGTGATCTGAGCAAAGGAGCCATTAAAAGAGAGAGCTTTATTATAAGCAGCTAGCATTTGGCATCTTTGTTCTAACTTAAACCACAAGGACTTGGAAACTGAGGAGATGCCACTGACCTCCATAAGCTGCTGGAGAGTATCACCACAGGCACCGAGCTTGGTCATGGCAAAGGCTGTGGAGATACTGAGGGGCGACATGAAGATGTTTCCCTGGTCACTCTTGGAGTCTGCCATGTACTTGTAGAAAATAACGGCAAAGCGGGAGTTGGCCTTTGACAACTCCCAGACCCGACGGTTAGTAAATTCTGGGATCTTATCCTTGGCTTGATCTGCCTCTGGCCCCTCGCCCTCCTGTGGTTTCTTCTCAGGGTTACGGTAAATGCAAATAGGATTCACAGGAACGTCCTTTGGCTTTGCGGTACAGATGTCTTCCACCCGATGTTGCTGGGGAGCAACTGCTCCCCACATACTGATGATCAACACCACAAAGAGATGCATCCTCCTGAAACCAGAAAGAAATGTTACAATCCAGGTGGGAGCCCTGCTCTGGAAGCCATCACTCCGAATGGGCTCCTCAGTGTCACATCCTCTCATTTCAATTCTACCTACAGGTTAGGTTATGAAGTAAGGTAATCCATGTCAAGGATGCTATCCTGGCTTGGGTTTTCCAGATGTTGGAAGTGGGACTGATGGACAGGCAGCTGGAAATATCTTGCAGTGATTAAATAACATACATAGCTCAAACAGCTGTCTATGAAGGTGGAAATTCAAATTCCCTTAGGAAAGGCTTGCACACCTCTCCTTTTATACAAAGGGTGCCTGTTGTATAACTTGAAGTATGGACAGATGTAATATTTACAGCACTTTAAACAACTTAAAGGCACTATAGATATTGATCAGATAGATGACTCTGTGTCATAGTGCTATAAATTAGTCAGAACTCTATAAAATGACCCTTAGTGAAACAGGAATAACTCTGAAGTGCTTCACAGTGATGCTATCACTGGGAGGCAGCTGTATAACAATATGCTACTGAAATGCTGCAAAAAAAGTGCTTTCAAAAAGGCAGAATTTGAATTGTTATATATGTGTGTGTGTGTGTCTGTCTATAGGCTGTCTGGACTTTGATGTTTTCTACCTGTCAAGCTAGAGTCCCAGAGCAAAAAAACAGAGCTTGCCAAACAATGGCCCAGTGCCTGGTGTCCAGTTGTTGCACAAGATGTAGAACACATATGATTAACAGCAATTCAATAACAGATATAGGGGAAAGTGCTGTCCTAACCCAGCATTTCTTTGGGCAATATCTTTTATTGGATTAACTGCATAGAGTAGATTAGGGGGAGAAAAAGTTTCTCAATCCTCCCCAAAGTTCCCCTGCATGGTTGTGTTGCATATATGGAATCATATATGTTAGCTAAAGGTTTGGGATGATGAAGCGCTGAAGAAGAGAGGTAAAACGTCCACTAATTTCAAACCCAGGAGGTGGGGGAGGGGGGAAGCAGATAATTTAATGCCTAGATGCTTTCCAGGAACCTTTTCAAGTGTCAGCAGGGTTGACTTAGCTTGGCCTTTCATACATCATAACTACAAAGTGTGTACTACGTGGCTGTTCAGCTATTGTGAACACCTGATACAGATGACACCTCAGGGGAAAAAAATCTTTCCCAGAGGTGAGATTTGTCATGTACAGTGAATGATCCCTGATCACTTCAGACAATAATCTGTCCTGGAAAGCTTGGCAAAGTATATCCCTTCTTCTTCCACTGATGTGCTAATTGCTGTTTGATGAGCAGAGTCCATCCCTGTAGAGACGGCACTGCATATAGAAGTTAGAGAGTGCTTTGAAATTCTTCCAGGACTAAGTGTTTTAGAAAGGCATATAATGCTTTTATGTTGACTGGATTCTGGCAAGAGAATGGAGTACGTACAACTTTTTAAAATCTTTCTTTCTTTCTAACCCAGTCCTGGAGGAAGGCAGTGAATTACTGAGTCAGCTCAACATTGCAGTTTCAGACAGTCTCCTGCATTATTAATAGGGAAGCTTAGTAGAGTCAATGTAGCAGGGAAACTGAGTTATGCTATGGCTTTTAGCCATAGTCCAGGCCTTTCCAGAACTAAGCAACACAATTGAACAGAGGGCCTTCTGTGGTGCTGGGAGATGTGAGGGCTGAGACTGGGCAGCAGGCAAGCAAGGGACAGCAGTTTCCCTATAAGGAATGTGGCTAGCGCAGTGCCAGGGGACTGGTGCACCATATGTGGACATTAAGGAATGCTTGGCACGAAGCCAAGGGATTGGACAATTTGGTATGAGAGTAGTTACAGAAGTGATGGACAAACAAAGGAACACACGTGTATTCTGTGTTGCCACCCTGGGGAAATAGGAACAACTTTGGACTTCTTGTTTGAACGAGGAACCCAGAAACTAACATCCCGCACACCCAGCAGAGGATCTGAGGCCGGTACCACCAAAGGTCACTGCTGTAAAGCCTGAATGAACTGCTTGGCAGGTCATATTGCAAGGAAGAATACTTGTAATAAGTCTAGGGGTTACTATTAAAAGTTCACTTGATACCAAATCAGATAAGGGGCCATGTCAATCCTTGGGGGTCTCTGGTAAAAGGAATCCCAGGGGCAAGTCAACACCCAGAACGAAGCATGAGAACCTTTTCCCTCCAACCCCAAATGGTACGTGCCAGAGTCAGGCTGCAAACATTAGTTTCTTCCCACTGCTGTAGTAGTTACTTTTGCTCAGCATTATTCTCTCCTAACAAAGGGCAACAGGCATTAGGGTTATAAACCTATGGGGGTTGGAAGGTTATTGTAGCCATGGCAGTCCGGGAAACAGAGACTAGGCTTTTTTGTTGCATCTTTTATGGATCAACAGTATAGTAGGGAGAGCTGTTAGACAACCTGGAGGGGCACCTGATGCCTGAAACAGCTCTCCCAACTATATATCACCAAAAAAACCCCCTCGACTCTGAACATAAATCTATGGCTAATTCGCTAGCAAGCATGACCTGTTGGACTCAGTATACAGTTCTCTCCAGACCATGTCCAGGGGAGCTACTTGAGTCCAGTAAGCTTTGATCTGAGGAGCTTCCATTGGTGTATGAAGTTCACTTTCTGGGATGTTTTATAGAAAGGGAGGACCTCCCCCCCCAGAAAGTCCTTTAAGTGAGGCAGAAAAAAGTGAGTATTGGGCAGTAGAAAATTGTAAGGATCCCTAATACATGAACTGCTTCCCACTCTATGAAATGGTTCCTCAAAACCAAGATTTTGCAGATGTTCTAGCAAACAAGACATGACAACCTAGATCTATGGTATCCAGGCAGAACCCTACAGAAAGAGAGCCTCAGCATCAAACACACCATCAAAGAAATCAGGACTCTCACAAACATACAAGTAGTGGTGAGGGGTTCTTAAGTTACCACAAAGGGAAATGAATCCATGTGGAGATAGGTTAACAAACAAAAAAACATCACTGGAACTTAAGTCCTCTTACCTGCCTCTGGTGTCTCCAATGCTTTCCCTTGAGGACGTGATACAAGATAGTAAACAGGATTTCTTTAGCTCAGGGAAAATAAAAGGGAGTCCAAACCAGTCAGTACTAGCTTCCACACTGAGTTTGTACACTTAGCCAGAGCTCAAAAGGAATGTAGGAGGGCAGGAGGTGGAGTGGGATGTCAGGGGTCAAAGGTGGATGACCAGCTAGGGAAGGTTGAGCAATGTTTAATTTAAGAGAAGTTTTGAAGTTCAATCTGATGAGAGAAAGTTTGATCAACTTCTCTAGGCAAACTGCAGGCCTGCTGCCCCCCCGCCCCCAGCCTATGCTGATAAAACAATGGGAGAAATGTTCAATAATTCAAATACAGATTTAGAAAACACCTTTCTCCAGACATTTTGGTCTTCTGTAGCTCAGGATAGTAACTCTCTCCCCTACTCCTCCCAAAACAACCAGAGGCAAGATTGCTATGCTTTGCCTTCACAGGCTCCTATCCCCAAGTTTGCACCTAATAAGCTGAAGATAATGATACCCCCGCTACACACAAACAGCACTGATGAAAGCTGGGTGTTGAAAAACGTAACTTAATGACTGCAGATGCAATTCCTCTGTAATTTTAACATCATAATCACCACTTCATGAAAAATAAAAAAGAGCCGTTTGGTTGGGGTTGCACATAAGTGTCAGCGCCAGAAAAAAAATCCCTCTTGCTGATGATGAGATGCCGTGCTACTGGGTTCTGTACTGGGCCCAGTCACTTTCTGTAGAGCACATAGCTGAAAAATAGTGGCTGTTAAGCCATGCATTAGTTAAGGGGTGTGTAGATACACACTGGGAAAAGTCACTGACAAAACAGTAACCATTGAAGGTAATGACTGATGAGAAGTCACTACCCCCAATACCGCCCCGAAGTAAATCATTTAACAGCCCCAATTTTTGCCATGCAGTATCAGTGCTGTAATCAGCAGTGTCTTCACATCAAAGGCCAGCAAAAAAGCCACAAAAGCTATTTCCCCAGATACTACCAGAAACACACCCAGTTTTGCAAGAGACCACAGTCTCAGGAAGCACAGTTGTGTTTATTCCTGCCAAAAGGGAGATCTTGGCAAAAAACCAGACAAACCAGAATAATGCTGTCAAGCAAGCGAGCAACTCACAGATCACCCTTTTACATGCACTGATTTAAAACTCTCCCCCGGGAGAGGCGGTGCGCTATGCTATTTGCTGGATTACTTTAGCGGAGGTAACCTAGAAAGTGGGCTCCAAAGGGCTACCAGATTAGTTTTCCAAGAGGCTGAGCATCAGGTCTTAAAGGTTTAGAGAAGACTGGTCGGACTAAGAACCCTTGACATTAGTGGTCTCCATTGACCATTGCAAACCTTTTAATCAGGACTGCAGCAAATTAAAACATTTCTAGTGTAGCCAAAACAAAAAAATAAAAAAAAAATAATGCATCTTGGCTCCTCTCCACACATTTCAAGTGGGAATTCACTGGACATGAAGATTCCCACTGGACAAGGAAATGAGGTTGGTATGACTGAGGAATTTCCAACCAACCCTCCTACAGCAAAGGGAAAAAAGATGGACTTAATACATATTGGAATACACAAAAATGTTGAGATTCCTTCCAGTGGGTGTCAGATCATTGGTGGTAGATACAAAATCCAGTGCTAGTACTGTAACAAAGCTGCTGAATTTTTGTAGGACTCCAAAATTCCAGTGCACAGGCCAGACAGACTTGGAGTCATTTAGTCTACCACATGTAACACATACATGGGCAACTTCTAAGTCAAGGGGACCATGAGATACAGGCCCTGCTCTACCCAAAAACTGATTTTTTTTATTTTTAACTGGCAGGTGCCTAGCCCCCTTTTTTTTTTTTTTTTTTTTAATAGCAAATGGAGGCAGGGAATCAACACAAAACTCGCATCCCTGGATGACACACTGATTTAGCATCCAATATGAAAAATGCATCAATAACATTACTAGTTGTTCTGTTTGGGTCAGTGGATCAAGTAGACATTTTTGTCATGATGGAATATGTAGCCTCAAGTTGGTAATGGTCCTTTGTTGCACTAGTCATCTAAAAATTTTCAATCTTTGCAGTCCTTAGTACTTTAGTAGCTTAGAGCAAGAGGTATCAGCCATAGTATTTGCCACTAAGGTCTCTTCTATGCTCAGTCCAAGGGAGGGATGTTGCAAGTCTCTCCCAGTACCATTCTTGTTAGTTGGGAAGTCCATATACCATTCACTTAGGATTGCCTAGTCTAGTCAGTGGCACAAGGCTTTGCATAGGGCCACCCTTCTGTTCCCTGTACACATGGCCCTGGTGATATCAAAGAGGGGAAAATGTAGTCTTTAAGGCAGTGTAGTATCTGTAGTTCTCCCCTCACCCCCACATCTGAAAACTGTGTTAACTTTCAATGGAGCCATGATCAATTTAGTCTGGGTGGCTTGCAGTTCATTCGAGAATTTGGGAGAAAGTATCTGAATGTACCTGTAAGGCTTTCAGTCATTCCTTTTGGAGAGAAGGAAGAAAAAGGCATCTAAGGTTGTCTGAGGAGGCTGTAGAAATGGTGGCCATGCTCAATGGCGTTTCATGCCTTAGGTGTATTTTGCTGGATATCTGCAGGGAATTGTAGGCAGACCCAGTTCCTACAGCAGAGGACTTGGATTCCTAAGTTTAGTTTGCTATGACATAGGTCTTATTTTGATAAGACTCTTGCCCCTATCAAATCTTCTGCCTTAATTTCTACACCCATAAAATGGGGGAAATAAATGTTCACTGCCACTAAGTCAAGTGTCAAAAGCATTTTAAACATGAAAGCTGCCAATCTTTCAGAACAGCCATCACTGCCTTCCTAAGCGACCAAATAAACTCACCATCTGATTTGGAGTATATGAAAACAGTGCACATGCAAATGCACACACTCTTCAGACCACTGCAGTGTTTGCAGTACTCTGGGGCTCACAGACTATTTGGGAAAACAGGACCACACTGTGCGCTGCACTGTAAACATTATTCATCCTACAAGAGCTTACACAGCTCAAGTGTTATTAAGGCTATGAACAAACAGGATGGTGAGAGAACTTAAATGCAGCCATACTGACTGGCCCCATAGTTAAGAAGCTTATACATTAGACAGGAAGATGGTCATCTTGGGGCAAACATACACTGAGAGTGCCACACTTGGCTTTTCCTGAATGGGAAGGAGTGGGCAAAGCAGAACTTTTGGTGAAGGAGCTGCTACCTGTTCCACAACTGATGTTCCTCATACTTCAAAAGGGCTGAAGTTTGCACTCAACTGAGGCTATCTAATGTCAACAGTGGACAAGAGGACAAGGGCGAGGAGAGAAAGAGGATATCAAAACATGCACAACAGGCTTGGGGCCAGAACTCCCCTCACTCTAAAAAAGCATAATGTAACAGGTAAAATGTTCCAGCGCTTCTTGAAGTGGTATGTTTGTCCCAGGCCTTTTAAAAGTGCAGGCTTCTGGAACAAGTAATAAAAGGATCCACTTAAAGATCACTTTATTGTTCATGTCTGGTGGATATACATGCCTCTTGCCCAAGGAAACCACTTCACTGAAAAAGAAAGGATTCATACTAAATTAGCACTGAGCATGCTTCCAGGTCTTAGCAACTAGAGAAGGAAAGGAGGATTAGGGGAGGAAAGGGGACTTTAAAAAGGGGACACAGGCTTCTGTGCTTTTGTCGGGCATTTAATTTTCCACTGTGGTCAGGAAAGATTATATATTGCTCTGGAGAAAAATCTGTACTCAAGAGACTCACGATGCACACTGCAATCCAGAGAGAAAATGAGAGATATTTCAAATGTGTAAGCCATTAATTTATCATTTAATATAAATGCTGACAGAAAAGCAGATAAGACCTTGTAGACACTTCCATCTATTTACAGACTGAAAGGTGAATCACCTCCTTTCTACTAATTAAAATAAATCCTTTTTTATCTGCAACTCATAGGAGCCTTAAACACTATGCAGGAGTAACATGAGGCTGAGTCAGTTTCCAAAGGGAGGAAGGCAAGTTAGAGGGAAGGGAGGAAACAGCATTTCAACATATGGTGTTTTTCCACATATGGCATTTTCTATATAATCATGCACAATTTTTTTAAAACACAAAATGATAGTGTTGGGCTTATACTTAAAAAAAGAAATCACAAGGAACAATGACTTTCAAGACCAGAGCTCCTTCTTGCCTTTCCATCTGCCAATCCCCTCCCTCCTCAGCATAATGTGTAAAAAACGGTTTTTACTTAAGGTTTAAACACAAATACTGGAGGATCAAAATGCCATTGGAGCAGGATAAAGCAGGCTCTGTTGTTTCCCCCTTCGGTCATCTCAAAAGGACTTTCCAAAAGATACAAAAACTGCCATACACGCCTTTGAAGATCTCCTCCACTGCCAGCCTTCATGCATGAGATTTCAATGTTCTACTGTGCTCACAAAGAATTCACAATTTATGGAATTCCACTCACACCTTTTATTTAAATCTCTACTCTTCTTGTGTTTGGGGAGATAAGAACAATAAATATTCACAATATTCAGTAAATAGAGTTAGCTGTCCCTTTTTATGATGGGAAGAAAATGGAAGGAAAGGAGAAAAAAAAGTCAAAAGGGATCACTTCAAAAGACAGAGGAGGGAAATAAAAAACAAAAAGTTTGTTCAGTACTGTTTTATAAGAACAGCAGATGGGGATCCTTATTTATACAAATTCCTAAGTAAACTCAAGAAGTCATTCATAACCTGACTCAAATCTCATGGTCTCCTTTATTATCCTAGACTATCCTTTTTTATTTTATTTTTTATTGTTTTTGTTAAATATACCTCTGCAGGGCACAATCACATACAATCAATACGATTGGAAAATTACATGAGCTCTATCCCAAGCATATATGCACCAATGTTAAAAAGTTATTTAAAAACAAACAAACAAACCAAAAAAATAAAATAAACTCCACCCAAAAAGGTGATAATGACTGCAGAATGTCTCGGGGAGACTGGTATGAGCCCAAAAAAGATCAAAGAAAACTAAGTTTACATAGAAAGAGAAAACAAGCTTTTGTAGAGAAATCCCACAACTGGAAACAGGTGACTTTTACAGCGAGGGGATGAGTGCTGGCATGCATGTTTTCTCCTGTAACTCTGTTCTCTTGCATGCCACCTCTCTCCTCTTCCCCAGAGCTGAATACAACTAGGAACTAGCTCATAACATTACTATTACCAGTTACCACAAACAGAAGAAAAAAAAAAAAATCAAGCTATACTGCAGCTGGTAAGCTGGCCTTCAAGGAAAGCCCCTCTTAGCATAGAAGCTGCTTACATGGCAAGCACAGGCCAAAGGGAAATGGAAACTCCTTAAACTAGAAAAGCTAAGAGTCATTTAATGGGCTATTTTGTCCACATTGCAGCAGCTCGCACTTAGGAGAGGCTGCAAAGCAATGGCATAAATTGTAAACAATGCATCAACTGTGTTGTGAATGGGGTTCTCTCTCCTCTCCCTACTCAAGTTGCTTTTTGCATGCACAGAAAGTTTCCATCACACCTAATAAAAAAATCTAGAAAGGAGCTTGGTGCACAGGTCCAGTTGTGGGATCCATCCAGTACACAATCCAGTTCGGATGCCAAAGACTTGTGAGTACTGTCTGCTACAAATTATTAATAAAATTATTTTAACATTACAAAGAAAACAATTTTTAGTTTATACCATAAACATCAGATAACTCCACAGGATTGTTTTTAAACATACATGTATTTCAGTATATCTAGTACTTTTTCCTCTTCAGGGAAACTGTATCGCATCCTTTTTTTTTTTTTCCTGTATTTTTCCCAAGACTTATTTTTTTTAAATATTTTCCTTTTGGCCAAAAAATTCCAGATCCAGAAAGAACTGGTTGTCTCTTGAGATGTCAAAAAAACCTGTACAATGCCAGACCCCTGTGGGCCCAAAGTGTTCAGACTTCAGTGCCTGAAGCTAGACGGCTAAATAAAAGATGCACACTTCTCAGAGCTCCCAGGCATTTGCAGCTCCCACAGAACTTCTCAAGTAGCCTCCTGGGAACCTGCAAGCACTCAGTAAGCTCTGGAGAATGGCAATTATTTATATGGCTAGACTTTATACATCCATGTCCAAACATTTTGGGCACAGTGCTTTAAAAGTTCAAACTACTGGGGGACTCTTGGGAAGGAAGTCCAGCATAGGCAGATGATGAGCCAGGTTCTCCATGCACTTCTCTGGGAGGGATCAAATGATGTTCCATCCTCTTTGCTTAGTGTTCAGAGAGCTCCCCAGCATAAAACAACTCTCACCATTCATAAGTTTTTATAAAAATATTTATAAAATATGTTCTCCTTTCTCCTCCAATCTACTGTCCATCAGTATCACAAGAATCAACTGCTTCTGAAAGTGTGGCATGATTCAGGGATACAGAGGTGTTTCCCTCTACACTGCAACTGTTGCTATGACATGGCAACATCAGGAAACATTGTGTTGGAACAAGGTCCACCCAAAACCTTTGTAGGGTGACTGGAATTAACTCATGCTTTGAAACCTCTTTCCAGCATTTATCGTTTGGGGAGAAAGCAAGCAATTAAAGACAGCAGCAATATGGAAAACTAGGATCAGTGTTTGATTTCCTACCTTTCATATTAAAATGTACTCAGAGTACATCAGTTTCAAAGTGAAATGAATAATCTTGGCCATGTGTACACTCACTATTAATTACAATTTCTTTTCAGCACCATAGCTACATTCAGAAGGTGTCTTAGAAATGTTGATTCATTTTCAACACAAAATTCAGAATTCACATTTAGCAAGATGGGTTTTTCTTCAGTTTACTGTTTGGATCACTGCTCTAAATGAGACCGGTAGTTATTTAAAGGGGAAGCATCTTTCAGTATAATACAAGTGTGTAAAACTTAGGAGACAGTAATGTCAAGCTCACTATCAATACTGCTAATATTGGGTGTTCATGCTTGGAGATGAGGAAAGACTAGTAGGAGATGAGGAATCAATACGACTAGTAGGATGGATATGGAGATGCAGTCATATGACAGTGATTCTGCCTGTTCATTGCATCTGCTCTATGGTCTATATATTTCTCTCCTCTCATACAACTTTCAATTTTTCCTTTATTAAAAAGAGGATAGCTAACAGCTCTGCTGCT